CAGATAGGGCGCCGCTGATTATGTTCTGCGGTGGCAAGAGCATCAGGATATTGTTTGACGAAATATTCATAGTATTGCGTGGGCAGGATACTATCAGGTTGCCCAAGCCAAGTCCACTAAAACATTAGTAATTGTAGAAACTAATAGGGAAGGTGTTTGTTAGCACATGAGTTGCCGTGTAGTGGTTCTATCTCCGGGCAGAGATGGGTGGGTTCGATGTTGTTGAGACGTTGGACACATCACAATTGCTGAGGGTGTTCGGTGGTTAAGGCATTATGAACAGAGCTCAGTAGCCAGACTGATGACTTGAGGAGAGACCGGGAGATACGATAGTGAGACTAGGGCGAGTTCCATGGAAACTGTGCGGGATACTTTTGCCGTATTCCTACTGAGAACAACTCCGTTGTGATCTGTGCAGATGAGTAGGCCCTTGGTGGTCCGTTCCGTAGACAGATATGCTCTGAACTGAGTTGTTTATGTCTCTGCATAGCGATCGTATTATTCGGGTCCGATAGTGTACTGGCGCCGGTGAACTTCGTTGAGTTTGGTAGGGCTCTGCCAGCCCAGCAGAAGTTCTCAATTAAGGCGTTTGATTCAAGAACCTGATTGCAAAGTAGCAGGAGTTGGGTAGTGGGCTACAGGTAATTCGTTCTAAGGAACAAAGAGACACGCTCACTCCGACCAAGACAAAGTCTATCTGGCCTCTAAACACTGACCGGTCTTATATGATTGACTCTCGAGGCTCAAAACGCCCGACCCAGCATAGTTCAAATGATCGCCAAGGCAAGCAAACCATCGCACCAAGTTATGTTCTAGTATCGTCGCGACAGTGAACGATGATCAAGCTTTCTTGACAGTGTGGGCAGTGAAGCTAGCAATAGTCTTTCCGATTAGCTTGAGAACAGAATTCGTGCAGAGAGGAGGAAACTTGGAGTCGAACGATTGCTAGTGATTGCATCTCGTAGCTGGATGATTCTCTCTGTCCTCTCACGCCGAAAGAGGGTTTTTGTTGGAATGCTCCGAACTCCAGCCACTTAACTAAAAGTTTGACTAACATGACAGCAGCGTGTCTAGCTCGACAATATTACTGCAGTCCCGCTGGGAACTGCTTGACACCAGCCACGTACAACCATGAAGGATTCAGTAAAAGCTGTACAGGATTTTCGACCGCGGTCAACTGCTGGTGACTTTAGTCGGGTTTGTACTTGATTGACCAAGAACCGGGTGCTAACAAACCAATGGTCACGGGCGGTGTTCTTTTATCGTCAGAAACAACGGTGGCGCGCATGCTTTACGCCAATAAAGCTGGGTGTACAACGTACGGTGTTGCATGCAATGACAAGATTTTGAGGGAAGAGGACCACTAATCCCTCTCCAACTTTCAATGTAGAGAAAGCGGAGGTTAGGCTTGCATGAAATATAAACGTTGGCCTGTTTTGTTCAGAAGACCATTGGAAAGTGTCAGCCAGCGAAGCTCAGTGGATCCAATTAGGATACACAAACTAACGAACCACGTGTGATGGTGGCGGGGCGGATAGAATTGATGCGGTACCGATAAAATGGGGGTCAGTCAGACGAAAGCCGAGCACGCGTGACTGGTGCAGTGCAGTGCAATGGAGAAACAGCACACCATAGGAAAGCGGATTGATTAGCCGAACGGCGAGTGGAGAGGATACACCTGAGTCTATGTTAGCAACACACGCAGCCGTGCCAGATAGCCAATCGTGGGATAATCGACTTAATGAGCGGACGGACAAGCAGACGCCACCGTGCAGTCTATCCGTGATGTTAACAGCGAGGCCCAGTGCAACCATGACCCCAGTAAGCATGGATCGACCCATATGGAGAACGAGCTCAAACCAATGGGATGTAGCTGACGATACGGACCAGTTAACGAGAGCCAGCCAGTGAACGGAAGACATCGAAATACTGTATGCCCTATATAAATAACCACGAGTCTTCTTAATAAGGATTTGTGATCGTCGTCCAGACTTTTCCTGGACCCTCGGAGAACAAAACGACAACGTTAAGATCCAGCTTTACTGCGACGAGATCAGTAGCAACCGCTCAATAACGGATAAGACTTAGATTGCATTTGAAATAGCAATCAGACACAAAACGAGATTATAATGATAAACAGATAGAACGATTGGGTAGACGAAACACACAACCAATGCGAAAAGCAAACATCACTAACGGTTGTTCATTCGAACAACAAAGAAAAAGGCAAAAAGCTATGTTGCAAGTGGTTTTTCGAAAACAGGTATACAAATGAGAGTGAGAGGCGCTAGGCAGGTGGGCCGAGCTGTTGGTCGGGAGTACTCACTACTTGTTGAATGTGACTATGGTAGTCCGCTCTCATATTGGAAGTAGATATGGTAAAGTTTGGATCTGGACAGGAAGAACCTGATTGTCTGCCTGCAGACGGAGGTTGTGTGAATGTATCTGTACTCATGTGCATTGAAGGAGATGGATATAAACCAGATGTCGACTGACTTTGAATCGAGCCAGATCCTGAGACAGCACATGGCGACTTGTAGGCAAAATTCGCGTATGATCCAGAATCCTGGATTTGGGGAGAGGCATCCACATGTGTAGAAGATATGGAGCATGGCGCAACAACGGGAGTAGCCGAATATGACGGTGTAACGTGAGCGCCACCGTAGACTGGAGTTGGAACACCTCTGGACTGTGAAGCTGCAACTGAGGATTTGGAAGGGGTTCCTGAAGACGAAACAGCGCTGGCACTGGTTATCGACAAAGACTGGGAAGAAGGCTTTGAAACCATTGAGTGAAGCCCGAGCTGCAGTTGTCTGACTACCTCAACTAAAGTTTGAGCTTCTGTGGAAATTTGATCTGCGTCGAAAGGCATGCTAGAGGATGCAGAAGTAGGAGAAAAACACTCGGGAGGAAGTCCAGCCCAAGCCTCCAAACCACTGAGCTGGATCTCAATCTCATTCAACTGGACAAAAACATCGGTCACCAGATTTCGGAAGGACTCCGTGTTGCACGTCACCATGCTGAAGCAAAGCAGTGGGTGGAAGCGGGGAATTAGACAAATAATGAAGAAACTGAGAGTAAATGTGTGAGGGGGACACGGCGGCTGTGCGCATAACCAGAACGCTAGTTGGGAGAACAACAAGAGACAAACAACAGGAATATAGTAATAACTGTGAGCACTGTGCTATTTGATATATATATATATATATATATATATATATATATATATATATATAGTGCCCATGCTGAAGGTGATATTGCATTCATGATGCTTCTTCACCGCAGTTGGGCTAAACCAACGTATACTTAAACTAGGTCTTTTTAATGTGGATAAACTTCATTTCACGCTATTTGGTTTGTTCTTCGTACTTGATAATCTTCTTCAACTTGCACACGTCGCTCATGGAAATTGCGGTAAACTTGCGTAATTTTATCATGTGGTATTTCGTAAATAACTTTTGGACATTTTGTACTTATCGCGTATTCATCTTTAACCAATTTCTTGCATATGCTCATTTTACGAATATTTATGTCGTCATATGCGTTTACTTTATTCGATATCAGCACCAGTCCACAAGATAGAAATATAAAGATGGAAAGGTATTATAATCAGCGAAATAGAACCCAAGAACGTCATTTTCATGCGGGGCAGGAAGTCTTGCCCAAAGATTATCGTACAGGTAAACCTCTTTGGACAACGGGTACGATTCAGAACCAAATAGGAAGAGTGATCTATAAAGTCAGGGTCGGTGATTTTATTTGGACCAGGCATGCAAATCAGTTGAGATCTACCAATATCCAACAGAGTACAGATAATCGAATTCTGCCGCTTGATTTTCTCTTAAACAGTTTCGATATACCCCCTAGAACGCCACACGTGCCTGACGAGACATGTGCGACAGTCCCGGAGGAAAAGACTTTGCAACCAAGACGTACTGATCGCACCCGGAAGCCAACTATGCGACTACAGGTGAACCCACAAAAACGTTCGTATGACTAACAATTCCTTTTCGCGGGGGTGGGGAGATGTAGAGTCGCAGCTATGCCAAGGCGGAATGTCCAAAAAGTATAACTTGGCTGGCGAATTGCTTGGACTTTTTTGTAACTGTGCACATTCCGGAACATGAGTTGCTGGGAAGGCAAGTGTGTTTATTTTGTCACAATGAACCATGTTTTGTACCAGAACAATTCATGCCTGCAATCCGAACACTGTTATGTGTTATGATACACTTGCTCCTTCCACCTGTTCTTGCAACCATACAAACACATAAATACCTCCTGGGTCCTACTTAAATGAACGAGCAACCGACAGTGAATGACTGGTTGAATGCCTCCTTCCTCCCCGCTCCGTGTGTGTGTGCTGTGTCAATAAAACTCATTGATGTGGCAGCCCTTCTGTGTTCTGAAGTGGGATCAACTGTGGGATCAGACTTGCCCCCAGAGGTATATAACAAAACCGCTCCGGCCCTTTTCCAACAGACGATGGACACCATGATCTGGCATTCCGGATACGGCTGCGTTGCTGTACGATCTACTCATTACTGGTCGCACCCTAGAAGATGTGCGCGAGCGTCCGATCACGGTACCTCAGTGTGTCCAGGAATATGGATTCCATTTGAAAGCGGAGAAAGGCGGATTATTTCATCCGTCGATCAAATAGCTTGGTTTCGTTTTCAATGCTAGTGGCCATTATCCTGATCCTGAGAATGTCAGGCATCAAGCAGCTACCAGCTCCAAAATGTGTCCTAACTGCAATCCTTCTTGGGCGTCATCAACCATTAGTGCCTTCTTGCCATTGCTATGCGATGTTCGAACCCAGCTCAATCGGTTGTAGCACAAGGACGTTCTTTGGCAAGAGTCACTCGCATGGGAAAAGGCTTTCATTCATCCGATATCCATGCTGAATTCTGACCTACTGCTGATCCATAATGACCCCAACCTTGCCGATTTCGGTTGCAAATGGCGCCTCTGCCTACGGGATCGGAGCAGGTGGCTCCCATCGTATCCAGTTGTTCTGAAAAAGCGGTTAAGCATTCTCACGTAGGCCGACGCCAAAGGAGAACTAGGGTCAGATTAAAAAAGCCCTGATCATCGTGCTTGCCTTCACTAGGTTCCACAAGATGCTGTATACCCAGCGATTCAGGTTGTTGACGGAACACAAGCTACCACTATTAGTCTTCGGTTCAAAAAGGGCATTCGCACATAGCTACCCGATGTTAGGTCCGTTTACCACTTTCTCAAAAAAGCATGTTTATGGAACTGCACTTCTCACCTAGCCTGCATGGCAAACCCTAATCACTAAGCCACATGATACACACCACGTGATATACACGCCATGTCAAAACAGCATTTTGACCTCTGCACACGCCAGCGTCGAAACACGTGACAAACATAGACAATTGCGAATGCACTTTAGCTCTCATTCACGTTGACATACATGTCACATCAAGGCGCAACAACATAACATCGCTAGAACGACTGGACAACGGACGTGTGCGCTCCAGTTCACGTACGCAATGCCCGACGCATCCAGGCGTAACCGCACTGCAATCTGAATGGGACCCACAGCCATCATGCAAGCACATGATATAAGCCTCTGTTGTATACATCATCACTATGTGTACAATATTAAGTTATATTAGTGCCTACCCTTCTGAGTTGGTAACTAGTCACGCTCTAAGCAGCGCTAATGATTGGGGACCCCGACTTGAAGCACATTGTACTCGCCTGACGTTCAACTGCTTATATTCGCCTATAACACCACACTCTTCACTACCACACATTACCCTAGTTTCTGTGAATCTTCCACCTTTCTGGCACCATGACTCCCAGATATGGTTTACCCAGGTCCATGCAGTTTTTTCTTCGCAATATCACACACGAACAAACCATGTTTTATCATGTGCTAGTCGTATTGACTCCGGTGATTGTTGTTGACCTATGAGATATTTCGTCTTCACCGGATGACGCTAAGCCTTATTCGCAGCGTAAACATGCAGACATCCAAGGAACCGCCGTTTCTGAACACAAACGTCTTGAATAATTGATTAGCGGTGAAGCACTTGACGGACGTCCTCTATCCTAGTTCCAAAAACGTCTTCACAGTGTATCAGGCGACCGCAAACTAGATGAAGCGTTATTTAAGCAGCTATTTCTGTAGCGTTTACCTACGCAAGGTACAGGCTATCCTGGCCAGCAACGCTGACAGTGTTCCGCTGACGCAACTCGCTAGTATCGCTGATAATGTTTTAGAAATGCAGCCTAGCACAACTGACATCCACGCCGTTGAAATACACAGTCTACTAAACTCGATTAATGACCATCTGGACAATTTGACTAAACAGATAGCAGGACTTCGGTTAAATCGACTAGCACGACGCCGTTCTTCTAGCGCTTGTTCATCGACCCGAACAAGAAGCCCGTCTTCATCGCGTACTTCAATTACTTGTTGTTACCATAGTTGTTGCGGACATTCAGCTCGTAAATGCACTCAAGCTTGCTCCTTCAGTCAAACGCAGCCGCCAGAGTTCCCACAGTCGGGAAACGAACAGGTCAGACGATAGAGGCGGGCACCGTCCGCGGCCAACAGGAACCTAACTCACATCGAATCGCGGTCGTAGATCAGACCACTAGTTTCCGTTTTTTAGTCGATACTGGTGCTGACATCAGCGGAATACCTCCAACCGGCTCTTTTGTTAACCGCACTCTATCCTTGATGTGCTTAACAGCAGCTAATGGGACCAGTATTAAGACTTACGGTTAACGAATCTTACTACTCAGCCTCGGTCTACGGCGACAATTCAATTGGATAGCGCTCGCCGGACGGCTTTTCCCGCTCTATTTGACAGGCCAGTTTGAATCGCTGATTACTTTGTGCAAAGCAGATTTTTCGTGTTTATCTTTCACAAAGTCAGCTTCTTTTGCGATTCTGAGGTTGCTTATTGTGCATTAGTTTGGTGTCCGTATATTTTAATATGGTATTTTTATCGTGTACTTATCATCAACTTTATCGCCTTTACCGTCACATCTGCTAAGCTATCAGTAAAGACAAACCTGACTTCTTGTGGTACTAGTTGCGAAATAGTTGGGCATAGAGCCAATGCTGCTACATGCCTTATGTGTGGTGTGAATTTCCATATTTCGTGTACTGGTTTGTCTCTAGATCATTTAAAACTACTGCATGACTTTGTCCAAATAGTGTGCAAGAGATGCCAAGTCACTGTACAGTCACAAACAGCAGAGAAGCCGCGCGAGCTTACAAGATGGGCGAAATGTCCCATAAGGAGTAGCCCCGTGAGTTCATCCAAGCAAACAGAAACCCAGCCACCTCTATGTTCGAACGGGCCCACCTGCCCACCGGCTGTAGGCTCTCCAGAGCGATGTCCACTAGCTGCTGGAGCTTCAGTTGGCATGCCTGTGTAGCCACAAACAACCGAGAAGCCGAGCGAGCCTACAAGACGGGCGAAACGTCCCATATGGAGGACCTCCGTGGTTTCATCCAAGCAAACAGAAACCCAGCCTCCTGTATGTTCGAACGAGCCCGCCTGCACACCGGCAGCAGGCTCTCCAGCGCGATGTCCACCCGTTGCTGGAGACTCAGCTAGCGTGCCTGTGTTGTGTCCTACGGACACTAACATACCGGTGTGGGATAGCGCAGGCGTTGAAGGCTAATAGAGAACGCAGCGAAGCAAAAAGGAGAAAACAACTGCTAGCAATCAGCAGCGTTGTAACCTTAGGATATTTCACACGCCGGAGTCGACAGATGCTAGTCCTCTGGCTCATTATGACCACGACGTGGATTTTCTAGAGCCCGATTGAAAGGCTTCTTGATGTAAATTAACAGGGAATGTAGTTGAAGCAAATCGCCTGCCTTGGAAAGAGAGAGGAGGGAAAATCCCGGCCTCTGCGAGTCACCTTTGTTGATTCAACGAGTCTGAGGCTGATGCTATCCCGCCTCGGTAGGCTAAGAAGTTTAAAAAGCCATATTGGATTCGATTCGGATCCATCGAACAGAGAGAAA